GTTACTTGGAGATATATCATAAGTTCTTTTTAGGCCAGATTTATTAAAAACTATTAACCCTTGAGATAGTATTCGACGAAATTCTTTAACACATAAGTTTGTATCGTTTAGATTATTGTTTATCATAAAATAATTGACAAAAACAATATCAAGAATGCCCCAGAATAATCTATACCACCATTTTTTAGAATTTCTATCAACATTGTACAGAGCTCTCAACTGATCTGCCTTATCCACTCCGCCCATAAATGTATTATAATCTTTTGTTACAAGAGGACACTTAATGACTTTTTTAGAACCGTCTTGTTTAGTACGGAGTACTGTACTTTCTTCAACACCGTGAACATTAGAAGAAAAATGAACTACTCTATTGTCTTTCCATTTATAAATTGTGATGCCCGTTTGAGATGTTTTGCAGTCATACATGTATCTTTCTAACGATTTGTCAGCTAAAAAAGGGGTATTTTTTCTGTTCAACCTTATTGTCCCACATGCAAAGTATTTTCTAATTTTAATTTTTCTAAAAGATGTATCGATGTAAAATAATTATCGAAAAATACTTTCATACCTATATTCCAAAAAGGCTTTGTTAAATTTAGCACAACTCTCTCACCCAATCCAAAATTATTAAACTCATCCCATTGATTCACAAAGGATTAATCCAGAAATCAAAATCTAGTACTTCTTCGGGAAGATTTTGAATATTTATTTAACACAAATCTAAATATCAAAAACGAAAATTTAAATACTTTTATAATAGTCTAGTTTCCATACATTGTAACTTCATGGAAAGTGAAAATATTCTAGTGATAAAAATAAATTAATTTAAAAACATATCGAACTGATCTGTATAATGTAATTCAAGTTCTTGCAACTCGATTACAGTAAAATATTTTAACATAATACGAAGGGCGTATATACGAGTATACAATAACCACATATACATGTACATAAAATAGGGTGTAACGGTTTTCCCGAAGTTTTGTTTTAAAAGTGTAAATGATTTTAAATGTTTTTATATTTTAAAGCACATACGAAAAAAAAAAAAAGTAAAAGGTAAAATCCGAACGCGTAAACCGATAATATAGACATGGAATCGGATTATTCAACACATTATAGCTGAGGCGTTCGAAGTTTTTCGACCCACGGCTCTTTTTTTCATCGCAATATTCTGTGAGTTGCCAAATTATAAATGACAAAAAAACAAAAAAACGGTCTCATGTACGAATAAATGATTTAATTCGTTTCGTATGAAAAAATGCACAACCAAATAACAAATACATAATTCATCATATCGTTTCCGTAATCACATTAATTTAAATATTACATCTGTGTGTTGTGTTGATTTTGTTTTCCGATTCTACGACACGATTCCCGCACATCAAGTGCCGCGATGCCCTAATTGAACACTGAATCTGCGCTGTAGGCAGTGGCTGCGAGTCCGAACGAGTTGATAAATCTGTAAATACCTAATAATATGCGTAAGTAATGAACGTGCAGTCATACGAACGCGTGTAAATGTTTTTATTATACGTCCGCGTTACGTGACATGTACGAAATGGCATTATTTTATCGAAAAACCGTTTATATAATGGGCACGAAGACAATAACAATAATGAATAATAAAAATAATATTTTACCGAATGAGGGAAACGAGAAACGCGGTCACAGCGGATGTATGACTGGTGCGTGTGGAAAATGTCGCTGTGGTTAGATCGTCGTCACCGATTTCAATGACTTTGCGTGCTGCTGAGAAGTATTTTTATAAGGAAACGTACGAAAATAATGTGACAGCAATACCGTTTTGGAAAAAGGATCGTTAGAACGTGCAAGTTATAATTATTATTATTGTTGCGCTGTATTTAATTTTATAACATTATTTAATGCTGAAAATACGATAGAGTATACGTGATTACAAATAATTGAACTAATTAGTTACTTAACTTAAGTCGCTATTCACTTGTATGTTTTGTTTATTTTTATTATTATTATTATTATTATTATTTTTTTTTTTTTGTTTAATGCATTGTATTATTGTGATTTGTGATACGCAATACGAATGAAGTGGAAATGATGAATGCTGAACATAGTACCAGAATTATGGTAAATATGATGAAAACATTATATACGCGAAAATAAAACTACGGTTTTGATGACATAAAGATACATTTTTGTTCTAAAAAATGGCCGATTTTCGTGTACCGTTTTTATGAAATTCCACTCAGACAAATAATATATATATATAATATAATAATAATATATTATATTAATACGTAAAAGTGCATCATAGACTTTTTCATATAAATGTCAATTGTTTTAACAACGCTCTAAGTAAGAGGAAAAGAGAAAATACTTATTGCTTGAGTTTTATGTTTATTTAGATATAATTTCATGATTTTCTAAAAACAATATTTTTTTATTTTTCCATTTCTTCTGTTACTAGTTTACTATTTTCAGATATTTAAATATAAAAAGTAAGTAGCATATTGACATAAATTAGAAAATAAAAAAATTTCATGTACGAAAAAATATGTATCAAAACAAAAAAATAACATGACAATTATTTTTTTTTTTTCTAAGTATAGTCGGTGATCGACTTCGATGAGTAGTTATTTATATGGATAAACATAATGCAACTCATATGTATCTAGATATAAATAAAAATAAACACTTGCTTATCTAGATTAAAAAAATACAATTTTTAAATTAATGCAAATCTAATATTATAGCTTTTTATTATTATTTTATTTGCATTTTTCTTACAGCATTATAACTTAAACGCAGATTATATATCCATAACTATTATTAGATTTGATTAAAATATAAATCAATATTTACTGTGTTATATTCAATTCATTCGTACAAATATCTATAAATCATAAGGTAAATATTTTTAATAATTAATATGCCGATAACTACAAGTATCCATTCTCAAAATAGAACATTTTCAATTTTCATTTTTAAACAGTGAACATTATACATACGGGTATACAATGGGAATAAAAACATTATCATTATTCATCCATTTTTATAAATTGTATTATTTCTGTTCTATAACGTATAAATTTTGTTTGAGGATTTTAATAAACATGCAAATATTTTCTTTGCAAAATACTGGTAATCAAAATGTTTCTAGACGATTTAATTTAGATATTAGTAAAATATTCAACCATGATAAATGTTTAGATAACTTGTAACTATTTATCTAGAAAAGAATAATTATGATTAAATAAGTAACTAGATAATTCGTCTAGACAAGTCCAAATACTGGATATAGTCGATCACGTTTAAACAAATAACCTGTATTGCGGATACTTATACGTATGACTACATGGACACGCCTCTCTATGTGTGAACTTTTTTTATTTATTTACTAATATTTACTTAATAAATAATAATAAAAAAAAAATATAAAAATCCATAATATTATTTTTTTTTTCATTATTGGGCTTATGATTTTTTTATTAAAGTCTATCAGTCTACTAATTATACACCAAAAAAAAAAAAATTATATTCATTATTTCAATGTTGGTTGCTTGGTAGGTTATCTGAATGTCTAAATTAACATATAATAGAATTTATTTATTTTATCCATGAAATAATAATATGGTACATAACCTGGGGTAATATTTTATTTTAATAGAAAAATTATAAAGTAATGTTTGACAAAATATTTGTACTACCCTGCCTACCCCCTTTGAAATCCTGACTACGGTGTTTTCGTAGTTTACGAAGTACCTAATATATTTTCCAACCCAAAATCATATGCTTGACGGTATTTTTAATTGAATTAATTCTCAATGGGTTGTATTCTACGCTAAGCAAAACATGCAAAAACACGTTATATCCATTTGGTACGTAAAGTGCAACGTTAACTCGGCGTTAGAGAAAACGAGCGTTTTAGTTTTTACGAACGAACGCATTTGCGTTCATATTTGTGAACATGTGAACCCCTCCGACGTTCCCTTTAACTGATGAACGAATATTGCGAATGACAACGGTTACTCTGAGGAATTTGAATGAACTTCAAAAGTTTTAGTAATTTGAATAACTGTTGGTTCTACTATTTTCATTTAATTTACTCGTCAATCGTTTTTTTTTTCAATGCTTTCACTATCTATGGCTTTGAAAAATATAAAACCTATAAAGGATAGACGTAGTTTCGAAATTACATGTACAATTTATTGAAGTTTAGGTTTGATACGAATAATTATTAAATAAAAATACAATGAACATGAACTTATATCTTGTACAATTATACATACTTATTTATCAATACGCTTGTAATAATTGGTTATAGTAGAGGTTGTAAACAGTCAAATAAACACGTTTATATTTTTAGAAACCAAAAACGTTCATGGAAAAAAAATATACTCTGAAACGTTAATGCGTTCAAATTTTAAACTAACGATTCAAAAATTATGTTAACTTTTAACGTTTTTGTTATTAGATTTTGAGTGATTTCACGATATATGTTTTATTTTCCGTCAAAAAACACTTTTATGGATAGTATAAATATAAAATATATATTTTTGTATGTAGGTTTAGAAAAGCTCCAAAAGTGTCACGTAAACCGAAAACGAATGTATGAGAAATCGGACAAACATTTTAATAAACGAGTTGGTATAATTGGAGACGATTTCCGATTGTTTTCGAGAAATTCACGAAATACGTGAAATAGTTTGACAGAGCAATTTTCGCACACACCGTGCTTAACAAAATTCTGCCGGCTCCAAGACGAACGACTTGAGTTCGTCTCACGGGTCCTACTGTCGCGGCAGGATGCGTATCGTAGTTTTTTTTTTCGGAGGCAATGGAGCGTCACCGTATCCCGACCGAGGGCGGAAAAAAAAACCAAAAAACGAAATAGAAATACAACACAAGTCGCCGCCACAAGTGGACACAAATCAAGTCACTGAGTATCCTGAGGTTTCTCAGGTGCTGCCCACGGTTGTTTGGAACAATCCGAGTCACACGCGCGATCGCCATGGACGTCGTACCTGCAGGATCTCGTCGTCGGTGTTGTTGTAGTCCTCGGGGAACTCGGTGCTGTTGGTGCACAGCGGCACGTTGATGGCCGCCTCGGCCGTCAGGTTGTGGCACATCTCGTACCGGTAGAGCACGACGGCGTCTTCGAACGTGGCGGACACGCCGTCGGCCGTCGAGTCCATGGCGGCGGCAGCGAGGCAAATTGGCGGGGGGGGCGGGGGGGGGGGAGTAGAGTTGGCGGGCTAGAGACACGCGGCAAGGTTCAACAAGTCATCGGCGGGGTGACGGTGGGCGCGCGAGTGCGGGGAGGGAGCTGTGGTCGAGCGGCTGTCGTCGGCACGGCGCGGTGTTCGGTCGGGGCGACGGCGGCTACGGCAGCGGTGGACGACGCTTGCGAGCGACGCGGCTCGGCGTGTACACGTTCGACGGTGCGCGGCGACCAACTGCCGCGGCTCGGCACTACGGACACGCATCGCGCGCGGTAATAAAACGCGGTGGCGGCGACCGCGACGAACACCTCGCGCACGCCCCGTCGACGGAACACGCGTGCCTCCGCCCGGCCGCGTACCCCGTCGGCAAAGCGACCCTTCAACCCGTGCGCGACAGTCCCGCCGTCCGCGCGTGCTCCCGCACGATTGCCCGTCGCGATCCGATATACCTAAGCATCCGTCGGCCGACCAGCGTCGTCCGATGACACGTTTTCGGGTCGCACGCCATGCAGAACACGTAATTTAACGGGCATGTTACGTACGAGCGAATATCGCTTTACTGTACGTTGTTCGGGGCCCGATCATTTCTGAAGAACGTTAATCACTAATCCACCCCAAAAATTAAGCTTCTGTTTACGTGCCTGACGTTATATGCCCAACACCCGTACGTACGGCCGTAAAACAAAATGTATCTAAAAATCTGAAAACAATCTAATTATCTGTAGATTCTGAATGAAATGAGGAATTTATTTGTTTTATCGTATTGTGTGTATTTTTCTTTTGTATGTACACAGGGTATCTCCCAGAAGAATTGATCCGATCAATTATTATGTGAAATATAGGAAATATTTTCTAGTTGGTACTTCGAAGAGAACCATTTCACAAGGTTCCCAACAACTATCTTAATAATTACGAAAAACATTGAAAAATTATAAAAATATGGCAACATTTACGGAGTATTATTTTTTAACAAGATCTAATATTTTTTTCCATAGTAACTCAATAAATATTCATTATAACGGTATGGAATTATCCATATCACAGAATACTTATATATATATATAGTTTACTGTGTATCATATAATTATCAAAATTTTTTTTTTTTTTTGCTCATTACAGAAAACTGAAAAGCTCAGGTTTTCATAACATTTTTCTATAAAGGTTGAAAAATTTATTTTTATTTAACAAAATATTTTAAAAATTTCATAAAAAATTTCTCATATATATATATATATATATATTACTGATTAAAAGACAAAAATTTGAGCTTGATTTCAAAAAATAAATGTACGTAAGTTTAAATATTACATTTTTTGCAAAAATCACGTAAATCCTCTCTGTTATAATAAAAATTCATAAAAGTTTCATTTATACTTTGGGTTTAAAAGTCTTATAGAAATTTTTTCAAAATATTTTCTATGTTGTCAAAAAAAAATTTTCTTTGCGGAAAGTCAATAAAAAGTTTTATAAGTAAGAGCAATTGAAAATTTTACGAAATCAGGTATTTCAACGAATATCCATTAAGCGACATTAATTATGGAATAAAAGATATTTTTTAGTTTTAAAATATTTTCAAAAATATTTTGCTCTTTTAGACTTTTTTAATTTTAGATTTTTCAAAATTATTTTTTTTTTAGCGATAGTCAGTTATTATTTCGAGAACAGTCATTCATTAATTTCAAGTTAAAAAGACCAATACAACAATACATTCACCTATACTTGTACTTTACTCGACCGTAGTGTCCCATCCATCCCTAAAATTCTCACTTTTTTTTTTAATTAAAAATTAATATATCAAATTAACTATGAAACTTAAAAATAATTTACTTGAAAATTGAAATTGAAAAATCATTTTTATTAATGTACTTTTTTCTCCAAGTAGTATAATATTTGATATTAATTTTAAAATATCAGAAAATATTTAATAAAGTAAAACATACTAAATAAAAATGCATATAATTGTGTACAGTTAGTGTCTTTTTATACGTTATAAAAGTCCCAAGTAGAATTGCAATAGTCATGAACATCCTGGTGCTAATTATTATACCAGTATCAATGAATCATTTTACTATACATTTGTTGTTGAATGAATTTATATTGATCAAAATTTAATGATCAACCAATATGACAAACAATCGGGCCTTAACTACAAAGTATAGTATATATCTATGACAATAAAGCATCTGTTTACAAACCTACGAACGAGAAGTTGTTTACGCTCAAAAATACAACTCAATTATGCCACACATTTAGTATATTAGTATTTTATTAATTTTAATGTAATTGCTTCTTCGTTGTTAATTAAACTAATTTATTTTTATAAAATGTTGTGCCGATTTATTTTAAATTGTCAAATGTCAATTGTCAAAATTGTCCAAAACATTTCATTTATCCATGGTATCTTTTCATTGAACATTAATTATATTTTTCTTTATTGAATTTTCTTTTAAGCCTGATTCTGATTGAATTTTTAATATTTACGTGATATATTTTAAATAAAATAAAATTGTCTATGCATTATGATCTGAAATCTTATTTTTTATAATTTACAAGATATATTTACTATAAAGTATAAAAGTATTATTTTCTTAAAATTGTATAATATATTCATAAAAATTATTTTTTCAAAGTTTCCTTTTTACAGTCAGGGTATAGTTTTTGGTGTTCATGGACTCAGTAAAAGAGTAGCTCAGACTTATTATGTAACTTATTATGTATTAGCTCATCAAATTTGATTAAACTTCCATGAAAATATCTCTAACATTTAACGTCGGTAGTATTTTTCCATCCCAGTATACAATTACATAAATACGAGTAAGAGTAGAACTTTGAAACTTGGTGTTGATTTTATTGATGCGTTTAACTCGTACAGCATCACGACATCGATGTATAGATGATTTATTTATAACTAAATTGTAAACAGTGTGACTTAAAACTTCAGCTATTACTTAAATTAAATAAATTGATTTCCGTACACTTAATTTACAATGATCTAATGCAGCAACAAACTTAGGCAAAACAAAATGTGTATGACCCCTTTTTTTTTTCTAACAGTGGTATTAGTATACGACTGCATTTTTTGTACTGAGAATCTGTCGATGAAGATGAAGAACTTTGAGTCATAGGTATCTGATAATTAATTTTGAATTACAGTATGATTTTAATTTAATGAAGATGAACCCGATAATTGAAGTTATCTATTTTTCAGTTTTTCTATTTCACTAAATTAACGTTTCTTTTTCTTGTAACTTTTTTTTTTTTTGTACCAACAAGAAAACTAATTCGACCGTAAGTCTTTGATTAATTGAAAACTATTATCAATTCAATTTTTATCATACTTAAAACACTAGCATGAGCAATATCAAATAAATTGTTGAGTTTGTTTATGAATTCGGTTTCGTTTAATTTAAATGAATCATCTACTTTTTATGAATATTTTTGTATATTATCGATTTGTTTTATTGATATATACTGTGTTACACATATACTATAAAAAAAAATGATACATATATACTATAGTTGTATGGTTAAATATATTTATATATAAGAGAAAAACAAATTAGGATAACATATGAATGAAAATAATTAAAAATGTGGTTAAAATTAATATTTTGTTAATTTCATAGTGAATTAAATTTTTTATTAAATATTCATATCATTATTAAATCAATCAGTAAATATAAACAATGTAAGTACTTTTAACGCAAACAGATCAATATTTCTTACATTCTAATCGTCAATTACTTTAGTTCGTTCAATTAATTGACGCGAGCCGATGTACACAAATATAACCAATTATAATAACTACAAGCTGCTTTAAATAATATATGAATAAAATAAACCACGATATTCTACCAAGTAGTAAATAAATATATCAGCTTTAATTAACACTGCTAGCGATTGCAGAGTCGTATTTACAATACGTTAGTGCTCAAATGATAAAATAATAAATAATGGTTCTATATAGCTATTTTTATCATTTCTCTCTCTCTCGCTCTCTTTATATGAATATTGCACGTTAATTATGGTGTCATGGTAATATAAACATAAATCAGTTGGCATATGATCATGGGTAAGCTCGCATAAAGAGTTTTGTTTTATTTTATTTGATGATATCTTGTGGCATCAAGCCCAAAGATAATGAAAATAAGCGAAGAGAGTCAGTTATTTTAGTCGTGGGATTTCATTCTATGAAATCGATAATACGAACGAACATCAAACGTAAAAGCTCCAAGCCAGATCAAATCAGTAACATTGGAAATTTTCTAAATCCGTTACAATTACCTTGTTTAAATATTAGTACTAACACGTTCGACTGTGGTCGTAACAATCTCGCGAATGCAGAACGCGACTTTTTGACAGTAATGTAGGAAGACTAGCTAGCACCCAGGGCAGATTTAGAAAAAAGCACTTTTTAACCAATTAAAAATTGATATTATGATATTTTTTTTAACCTTTAATTTTACTATTTTTTTTTAAGTATAGAATTTATATGATAAATTAAGTTATAATTAGTTATAATTGGTTTTAAGTTATTTTTACGGTGTTAATTTTAATCTTTGAAAATTTGCTTTTCTCGCTTTTTGAATTTATTCTTTTATATGAAATTTTTTATTTAAATGCCCTTGTGATATTTTGAACATCATTAAACTGACACGTAGTATATACAAATAAACAGCATCTACGTATTTCAAGAAGTATAACTTAAAAATGTCAATTTTTTGTAGGATAAAAATGCGACTTTTGCACAGTTTTGCGCCCCTTAACAATGCGTGTCCCTGGTGTAGGTACTGTTTGCCATACCTTTGCTATGCTACTGCTCGTTGAACACCCGTGTATAAATTCACACCAACGATCGAGAAGGTACATTCCCCCCCCTCCCGGTACAGTACATCGAGCTACGGTTGTGAGAAAAAAAAAGACGTACCTTTATTATTGCGTTAACACCGCCTCGGTTTCAGAAAGACGGAAACAATTAAGAACAATCCTTAGAATAAACCGCGGTGCGGTCATCGAACACCGACGTGTGTATAACCGATAAATCGACCGTTGTGCGGTGTACAATTGTACGCGCGCACGCCCGCTCGTCACGGGAATGTGCATTACGCGCGGACGGTATATTAATGACGGGTGTTGTACAGGTGACGCGTGAAAAATGTTTCTTACCGGACTACCTTGAATAACATAAACTATATGTGCGCCAACGGCTAATGCGATAAAATGTACAAGCACGTTTTGACGTTTCAACGACACAATAT